GGGATAGATCAATAAACAAAAATGAATTGTATTTCTATACATTAGCAAGGAACAACTGGATACCCAAATGAAGAAGAATGAAATTTGGATCCCTACCTTATACTATACACAAAAGTTAACTCAAAATAGATCATCAACCTAAATATAAGCGTTAAAATCATATAATTCCTAGAAGCTAGGAATAAATCTGTGACTTTGGGTTAGGAAATGGTTCCTTGGATATAGTAAAAACAGTTCAAGTGACAAAAGAAAAAATAGATAAATTGGACTTCACCCAAATTATAAACGCTTGCACATCAAAGGACACCATCAAGAAAGTGAGATGACAGCCCACAGAACGGGAGGAATTATTTGCAATTTATATATCTGACAAGAGATTTGTATTCAGACTATTTAAAGAAAACTTAAAACTCAACAATAAGACAATCTAATTTTAAAAGGGCTAAGAATTTGATTAGCTATTTCTCCAAGGAACATATACAAATAATCGATAAACACATGAAACAATGATCAGCACCACTAGTTATTAGGGAAATGCAAATCAAAACCACAATGAAATAACACTCCATACTGACTAGGATGGCTACAATAAAAATGATAGACAATAAAATGCTGGTGAGGATACAGAAAAAGCGAAACCCTCATACATTGCTGATGGGTGCAGTCACCTGGTTATTTCTCAAAAAGTTGAACATAGATCACTAAATGACTGAGCAATTCCACTCCTAGATACCTACCCAAGGGAAAAGAAAACATACATGCACACAAAAACTTGTGTACAAATGTTCAGCACAATGTTATTCATAAAAGCCAAATAGGGCAACAACTGAAATGTCCATCAACAGATGAATGGATAAACAAAATGTAGTACATCCACACAATGGAATATTATTTGGCAATAAAAATGAATGATACAAGCAACAACATGGATAAACTTCAAAACTGTTGTGCAAGAGAAAGAAAGTTAGATCAGTGATTGTCTGGAGCTGGGAGGAGGGGATTTATGGGGCGTGGCTGCTAATGAGTATAATACTTCTTTTGGGGGTGGTGGTAAAATGTACTAAAGTTGATTGTGGTGATGACTGCACTATTCTGAATTTACTGAAAACACAGAATACTACCCTTCAAAAGAGTGAATTTTATGGCATATGAAATATCTCAACAAAGCTGTAACAAAAAGATGGAAGCAATAACAGAATGTCTGTATGTTAATGAGAGTGATATATATATTTTTTAAATGATCTTGTAGAGAGGGGAAAATTGCTGGAGCAATGTCCTCCAGTGGGTTGGAATGGGATATAGTGCTAAAGTGGAGGTACTCGGGCCTCCCTGGTGGCGCAGCAGTTGAGCGCTGGGTTGCGAAGCTGCCCGCAGCCTCTGCAGCACCGGTTCGATCCCGGGCTGCCAGGCAAGGGTCCCACATGGCGCGCAGACCTCTCCTGCCGCCCGCTGCTCCCCTCAGCAGTGTACTTTGTCAGTCTGCCTGCTCTGCTCTCCCCTCTGGCTCTGGTGAATTCTCTCGCCCTCCCGCGCTTCTGACTGTACCCAGTGCTTGTATAAATAAATAAATAAATCTTAAAAAAAAATAAAGTGGAGGTACTGGATTTTGATGACAGCGAGAACAGCCCAGAAGACAGAATAAGTGAGTATTGATGCTGTATGGTGGTTGGATGTGGTAGTGAGAATCTGCAGAGGTTTTCTTGGGATTTTTTTTCCTAGTCAAGTAGTCAGCCTGAGTATAGAGTAGGAGTGAGGAAGTGTTGGGAGATCTGAGGAGAGAGAAGGTATGAAATAGTCATCTAGGAGACAGGACAACTAAATGCAATAGGGAATTCTGGATTACATTCTGGAAGAGAAAAATTCTATTAATGGAAAAACTGATAAAATTCAAATAAGTTCTGTACTTTTCTTAATAGTATTGTACCAATGTTAATTTCTGGATTTTGATCATTGAAATGTAGTTATATAATTTCTTATTATTTGGGGAATCTGAGTGGAAGACATTCTTTGTAGTGTTTTTACAACTTTTCAAAAGTCTGAATTAAAAATATATATTTTTAATTTATAAGAAAAAGGTTATTTAAGAAGGAGGGAGAGGAAATGTCTGGGAATAGCAATTAGAGTGAGGACACCTACCTCCATCTCCTGGCCTCTTGGTAGGAGGGTTTTGAGGAGGCTGCTGGAGAAGAGTACTCATGGGAAAGCCGGATTTCTATTAAGGCAGTGATTCTCATTGGGGGGTTGGGTGGGGGTGTATGGTCAAGGGATATTTGGGGCATTTTTGATTGTGTCAATAATGGGAAATCACTAGTGACATTTGGTGGGCATGGACTAGGGATGTTAAGCATCCTGCAGTGCACACAGCAGCATCACACAACAAAGAATCATATCACATCCCACACAACTTTAGAATGTTCCATCAGATCATGTGGGTGATAACCCTGTTCATTTGTTCATTCAACAAACATGTCTTGAGAGTCTACTGTGTGTCAAGCACTGTTTTAGGTAATAAGCTTACATCAGGGCACCAACACAAGCTTTCAATCAAGTAAAGAGTCAGACAATAAGCAACAAACATAATAAAGATGCAAATTATATATGAGGTAAGAGGGTGAGGAGCACTATGGGGAAAATAAAGTAGGATAAGTGCTAGGAGAGAGCTGTAATTTTAAATACAATGGTCAGGGTAGGCCTTATTGAGAAAGTGACATCCCAAGGAAGTAAGAGCACCAGCTTTGTGGCTAACTGGGGAAAAAGCATTCTAGGTACAGGGGATGGTCCAATACAAACCACTAAGGTGGAAGTGAGCCTATGTTCAAGTAACAAAGAGGCCAGGATGGTGAAACAGAGTAAGTGGGGAGAGTGTTAGGAGACAGGGTCAGAGAGGTGATGGGGGCCACATGGTGGATTTTAGTATCTATTATTTTTTCCAGAAATTCAACCATCATATACATTGAGAAAAGACTGTTTGGGTTAGAACTTTACAAAAAACTGTTCATCATTTAAGAAAATCTCATGAAGATACCATCTTACACCAGTGAGAACGGCACATATTAAAAAAACTAGCAACAACAAATGTTGGCGAGGTTGTGGAGAAAAAGGAACTCTCCTGCACTGTCGGTGGGAGTGCAAACTGGTCCAACCACTTTGGAGAGCTGTGTGGAGATTTCTGGACCTACTAAACATAGAGCTTCCATATGATCCAGAAATTCCACTCCTAGGTATTTACCCAAAGGACACAGAAACATCAATTCCAAAGAGCACCTGCACACCTATGTTTATAGCAGCACTGTTTACAATAGCTAAGCTTTGGAAACAACCCAAATGCCCAAAAATAGATGAATGGATCAAGAAGATGTGGTACATATATACCATGGAATATTACTCAGCATTCAAAAAAGATAAACACATGCAATTTGCAGCAACATGGATGGCGCTGGAAGGGATCATGCTCAGCGAAATAAGCCAGAAAGAAAAAGAAAAATACCGGATGGTCTCACTCATAGCAGGAATCTAGAAAACTTAAATAAGGGACCAGGAAAAAGAATAAGTATAAGAAAGTAAAAATCAAAATCAACAAACAACTATGAACCAGAGACACTCTATGGGGGGTGGGGGGCGGGGAGGGGAGGAATTGGGGTCAAAATAAGGGGGTCACAATTGTATGGGGAATATAAAAATAAAATTTATAATAAAAAAAAGAAAATCTCATGAATCTACTTATGGTTTCTGAGTCACCAATCATTGAAATGTGTAGCTGTCACATTCCTGGTTGTAAGTATTACATGTGCAAGACCACTGCATTATATCTGCTAGTAGAGTTATATCCCAGCCTTTACATATTGAAATGTGTATTGTTCTGTTATCAATGACTCCTCTTTTACTTTTCCCTTATATTATAATTAGGACATTACATTGGTTTGGGGGGAATTACATGCATAGACAGATTCTACTATCTATGCACTTCAGTATAGAATAGCAAAGGGGAGCATTTAAAAATATATAATTATAAAAATGGAGTGTTATGTCCAATGGGTATGGGAACCACTAAGATATGGAATGAAAATGAAGGGACTATTCAGAAGACAGAGTAAAAATAGATGGGATTTTGCTGATGACTGAAGGTAAGTTCTAGGAGGTCTGGGGGCAAAAAAAAGAGGATGCCCAGAGCTATATGGGGCTGTAACTAGGAGAATCCCTGGTCTTGTTACGGTGACAGAAATGATACTGGATAAAGAGTCTGATGCACTATTTTTATCTTCCTTGTTCCCCAACCTGGGAGGGTCTCTACCTGTTTAACACAGTAAGCTGGGGAACAAAAAGGGTTCTCTCCTCAATGAGATCAGAAGCAGACCAAGGCAGCTTTATTTATTATCCACAGAACTGTCTGGAGCCACAGGCCAGGTTATTGCTATAAACAGTACAGTTCTTACCTGTTTAGGGATGAAAAATAGGTAGAAAGAGGAACAATAACAGAGAAAGACATGTAGAAAGAAAAGCCAGTGGAGGAGGGTCAGAGGCAGGTGTATGTGTTTGGCTGGGGGGGCGGGGGCGGGGCGGGGAGCCAAAGAACAAGAGAGATAACATTCTTTCCAATCACATCAGTCGTTATTGAAAATTTTCTAGGGGCTGGGTGCTGGGCAAAATGATGTATTGTCTCAGATGGAGATTATTATATTCCCATTAGGCAGATGAGGAAATTGAGGCCCAGATGGGTGGATGAGATGGTTTAGGGTCTTTTGGCTAGTTTTAACTGTCAGGGTCAGGACGCAGCCTTTTGGGTCTGGGCTGTCTAGTATATCTCAGAGGGGAAGAGAGACAGAAAGATGCAGACAGAGACTGAGTGGGAGATTGGGGGCAGAGAGATGGAGATTTACAGACCTGCACACAAACGATCACGTGAGCTGCAGACCTGTAAGGTCCGTTTCCTGAGAGAAGAGGAGGTTGGGGGACGGGGGTGGGGAGGCGGACATGGCTGGTGGGCCCAGCAGGGTACTCACCTGGATGCCGGCTGGGGCCACAGAAGCACTTGCCCAATCTTTGCTACCCGCACGATCCTCCGCAACCCGCTGACCTAGGGTTGAAAGGCGGCCCACGTAAAAGCCGGCTCAGGTCCCAACCCTAATGCGCTCGAGCCGGGTCTCATTCCCCCGCGCACCCCACCCCGTCTTTACAGCGTCTCACCGGATACCTCCGGAAGTGGGCGCCGCTGCTGTAGCCGGCGAGCGGAATCGAGGGGTGGGCAGCTGGATCTTGGGAATACGCTGGATGCGTTCTCCCGCGCGCTGGAGCGCGAGCCGGGTCACAGGCCTCCACCACCGGATCCAGGCCGGAGAAAACTCCACCCCTTTGATTGGTTTACGAGTCAAACCCACCCTTTAATAGGATTGGCCCGGCAAAGAAGACTGTTGTAGCCCTTGGCAGGTCTATTCCATGGGGTTTCAGCAGGTGAAGGTGGGAACACGCAGGCGCGAAGCCCAAAGTGAGGTCTGGCGCGAGTCACTGTAGAATCGGGCGCCCGCGGCTTCTTGACGTCTTCCTCTCCGTAAGCCACCTCGACTAAGCAACCGCTCCGCTAAGAGACACATTTCCCATAACACTACCCTTTCCTCCACCCGCAGTGATTTCTGAGTCCGGTTTCTCTCGTTCAAATTGAGCGTAGTTGCTAATTGCATCCAAAAAGGATGAGGTAGTCACCCGCCAGCCCCTGCTACTTACTAAGGCATCTGTCAAGTGATGATGCTCCCTGGTGGTCTAGTGGTTAGGATTGGGTGCTCTTATCGGTCAAGTGACAACCTCTCTAGAAGCCTCGGTTTAACCATCTGTAAGATAGACAATTTGAAAAGCTCTCCTGACAACATAAATGGGAGGATTAAATAAAAGAATCTAAATTAATTGCCTGGGATATAAAGAGTTAAATTCTTGGGGCCTCCCTGGGTTAAGACGCAACCTATGAAGCTAGCCTCAGTCACTGCAGCACAAGTTAGATCCCCAGCGGGCCAGGGAGTAACCCATGTGCCACAGCAGACCTCTCCTGTCTCGCCAGCTGCTCCCCTCAGCAGTGTATTTCAGTACATCTGCCTGTTCTGCTCCCCACTGTCTCTGGTGAATCCTCTCACCCCCCCACACACACCTCTGGCCTGTACCCCAGTTCTTGTATGCATAAATAAATAAAATCTTTTTTTAAAAAAAAGAGTTAAATTCTCGCCACCCAGTTCTTGCCTTTCCCATTGTTCAGACTGAGAGAACTGATTGACTTGAGGTCACACCCCATTATAACCCAGAAAAAAACTCAGGCTTCTGTCCTCTAAAGGAAAGCTGTTTAAGAAGGAAGGAGGGGGGCCTCCCTGGTGCTGCAAAGGGTTCAGCACAGCACTATGAGGCAGTCAGCAGCCTCGGCAGCACGAGTTCGATCCCTGGCCGGACAGGGAGCAACCCACATGGTGCAGCACACCTCTCCGGTCTCACCCGCTGCTCCCCTCAGCAGTGTATTTCAGTCAGTCTGCCTGTTCTGTTCCCCGCTCTGTCTCTAGTGAATCCTCTCACCCCCCCCCCCTGCATCTCTGGCCTGTATCCCAGCTCTCGTGTGCATAGATAAGTAAGTCTTTAAAAAAAAAAAGAAAAGAAGGAAGGAGGGACAAGGAGAACTTTCTTATTACCAGGGAGGGGTCTAAATCCAAGCCCACAGATCTCCAATCCACGCAGGTGCAAGATTTGGAGGGGCTAATGAATTTGGATGGGAAAAAAAATTACATCTTTATTTTACTCTCCTCTAATAGAAATGTAGCATTATTTTAATAAAGAATGCAACAAATCATAGTAGCCACAGTACCTGTCACTGTTACCAAAAGAAAAGATATTTTCAAATCACTTTATAGATATTGCAGATCTCTTGAAATATCTTGTAATCTTACGTTTTAAAAATCGTGGTAGTAATTAGACTCTCCTTTGGATCTCATTAATGAATTGAGAGCACACATACTACTGTAGTAATCTTTGCTTTTTCATATTTTAATAACTATATTTCAATATGATCAGTCCCCTTTGTAACTCTAAGTATTTTATTTTATGCATTTAGAAGATTTTTTTTTTCTGAGAAAAGGTCCAAAGGTTTCACCAGACTACTAAACAGGTCCATGGCACAAAACATGTTAGGAATCCTTGTCTTCAACTCTAGGTTACAGGAGGAAAAAGACTTGGTTTATCTTATTTTCTTGTATCACTGTCACCCACTTTAGCATCAGGCACACAGTAGGTACTCAATAAATGTTTACTGACTGACATCACTTGTAATCAGGGGAATGCAAATCAAAACTACAATGAGATACCATCTTATACCAGTGAGAATGGCACATATTAAAAAAACTAGCAACAACAAAGGTTGGCGAGGTTGTGGAGAAAAAGGAAGTCTCCTGCACTGCTGGTGGGAGTGCAAACTGGTCCAACCACTATGGAGAGCTGTATGGAGATTTCTTCACCTATTAAACATAGAGCTTCCATATGATCCAGCAATTCCATTCCTAGGTATTTACCCAAATGACACAGAAACATTAATTCCAAAGGGCACCTGCATCCCTACATTTATAGCAGCACTATTTACAATAGCTAAGCTATGGAAACAACCCAAATGCCCAAAAATAGATGACTGGATCAAGAAGATGTGGTACATATACACCATGGAATATTACTCAGCAATCAAAAAAGATAAACACATGCAGTTTGCAGCAACATGGATGGAGCTAGAAGGGATCATGCTCAGCAAAATTAGTCAGAAAGAAAAAGAAAAATACCGGATGGTCTCACTCATAGCAGGAATTTAGAAAACCTAAATAAGGGACCAGGGAAAAGACTAATTAATACAAAGTAAAAATCAAAATCAACTAGCAACTATAAACCAGAGACACACTACGGGGGGGGGAGGGGGGAGGAAGGACTAGGGTCAAAATAAGGCGGGGTGCAATTATATGGGGGAATATAACCAAAATGAAAATGCATACATTGTGCAAAAATGAAAAATGATGCAAGAATTATATAAAATAAAATATTAATTAAAAAAATAAATGTTTAATGGCCAACAGGCATATGAAAAAATGTTCAACATCACTTGCCATCAGGGAAATGCAAATCAAAACTACCATGAGATACCATCTTACACCAGTGAGAATGGCACATATTAAAAAAACTAGCAACAACAAATGCTGGCGAGGGTGTGGAGAAAAAGGAACTCTTCTGCACTGTTGGTGGGAGTGCAAACTGGTCCAACCACTGTGGAAAGCTGTGTGGAGATTTCTGGACCTACTAAACATAGAGCTTCCATATGATCCAGCAATTCCACTCCTAGGTATTTACCCAAAGGACACAGAAACATCAATTCCAAAGAACACCTGCACCCCTATGTTTATAGCAGCACTGTTTACAATAGCTAAGCTTTGGAAACAACCCAAATGCCCAAAAATAGATGACTGGATCAAGAAGATGTGGTACATATATACCATGGAATATTACTCAGCATTCAAAAAAGATAAACACATGCAATTTGCAGCAACATGGATGGCGCTGGAAGGGATCATGCTCAGCGAAATAAGCCAAAAGAAAAAAAAAATACCGGATGGTCTCACTCATAGCAGGAATCTAGAAAACTTAAATAAGGGACCAGGAAATGAATAACTATATGAAAGTGAAAATCAAAATCAACAAAAAACTATGAACCAGAGACACTTTTTTGGGGGCGGGGGCGGGAGGGGAGGGATTGGGTCAGAATGGGGGGGCTGCAATTGTATGGGGAATATAACAATAAAATTTATTATTAAAAAAAAAAAAGAATAATCAACAGCAAGTTAGGTACAAACATGATATATAATAGAAGTTCTTGGTATCCAGGCAATGGGCTGAATGACAACTCTGTGATGCCCAGATGTGCAGCAGGCAACAGGGACCTCGATCTCAGCACAGCAGACCTCCAGCCACAGTTACCCTATGACTGTTATTTAAATAGATGGTGTGTACCAGATGCTGCTTGCAATCCTTCTCTATAACTCCTGGCTTTTCAGCAATGTTGGACCTATGTTTTATATACACCGGTGTGACCCCCCGCAGCTCCCATTTGGTAGCTATTGTCTTAGCTCTTAAGGCTGTCCATTGACTTCACTCCCCGTGACTTTATCAGAGTTGGATGTGACATGGAAACTACACAGCCTGATCTTGTGAACCCTGATATATAAGGACAACAATGGCAAGATTCTGGAGCTTTCTGCCTTCTTGCTCACATCACTGCCTTGGGCACAAGCTAGTTTGACTAGATGAACAAAAAGCTATGGCAACCCAATAAATGCTTCTCTATTTAAAAAAAAAATAAAAATAAATGTTTACTGAATGAATAATAGTATTCCTCCACAACCACTCTTTATACCCCAAACTGAAGGAGCCCATACTGGCTCTTTTGGCCACCTAGGAAGGAGGGATATTCCTGAATCTAGTTATGTCTCTGCCAATATGCTTGTATTCACATAAGTGGGTGGCAATTTAAAGGTTTGGTCTCAGGAAATGCTAGGAACCTCACCCCCAGGAGCAGAGCCCTCTGCTGCAGCAGAGAGGGGTGGGCTATGAAGGATACCAAGACAAGTAGCTTCTACGTAGGACCATGCCCTGGGCACACTGGGCCCACGACTCCTCATCATCCTGTTTTCTGTTTAGGGTCCCCTAAAACGCGGTCCAACTTCCCTGGTCTTCAACAAAGGCTATATTTTGGAGTAGGATATAACCTTAAAGGCCTTCTAGACCAGCCTTCCCTTTTAGCAGTCCAGACTAGGACCTGAAGCCCCACTATATACTGAAGACTGAGAGCAAGGAACAAGATGTCACTCTAGTCAAAGAACATCCTCTCCTCCCATGCCTTAGCTCAGGACATGAACACCCTAGCCAACTATATTAGAAGCCCATAAATGATCCCTCACAGTGTTTCTGAAGCCAAAGGCCCTCTCTGACCGGATGGGTGAAGAGGAGTCTCAAATGCCAAGATGAGGGGCCTGGGGATTTGGTGAGAGGACAGAGAGGAACCAGGGAAGTACATGATGAAGGCCAGGCTTCAAAGTTCTGCTTTGAGACTAAACTCCATCTTGGGATCTTAGGCAGGTTGCTTCTCCAAGGTTGTATCTCCCAGCATGATTAGCCTGTTTGCAGATGGGGAAACTGATGTCCTCTAGAGGGGGTGAGAGAGTCACATTATGAGGCAGATCACATTAAGGCAAGATACCCAGGCTATCTGTTTCTCAGACTAGCTGGGATGTTGCCAGGTTGATCTCTTCCTGGTGCACTCCAGGTCATTTGCCCCTGTTGCTTTCCCCTCCCCTTCACTTTACCATGTGCTCCTTGGGACTGGCATCAGATATTGCATGTAGAGATGTGTTGACTTAGGGTCGGTCCTACATTCTCAGCTCTCGGCCTTGAGATAAGATGTTCCTCTTTCTGGGCCAGTCTCTTCCACCCACTACTATCAGTGTGGTCCAAGATCAGAACCAGAGACATCCAAACCTCCATGCTGTTCCCAAAACATCTATCAAAGTCATGGAATAGATCTAAGATCTGCTAGAGGGAAGGGGATTGCCAAAGATCCCACAGCAACCTGACAGTCATCCCTGACTCCCCTCAATCCTTCTTTTCTAGTATCTAAAAGACTTTTGATTCCAGTATCTTAAAAACTCTCATAGAATAGATACATTCAGCATGTAGGAGAATTCCAACTGATTTTCGTAGACACTTCCCCCTCAAGGAGATGAAGCACAACACCCCACTCCCTGAGCATGGGCTGTGTTTAGTGGTTGCCTTCCAAACAGTGCAGTATGGAAGTGGGTGAGGAGTAATTTTACAGTGGAGAAACCTACCTCAGTCAGGTGATTAATATTAACATCAACAGTGATAAGACATATTGATAGCATGTAGCCTTTACATGATGAGGATGGCACTTTATTCCTGGGTCTTCTTTCCCAAACCCATAGTAATCATGGGTAAACCAGCAAATGTAATCATGAGAAAAAGATCAAACAAATCTCAATTGAGGGACATTCTACAAAACACCTGACCAGTATTCCTCAGAGGTTGATGACTCCAGGTCATCAAAAACAAGGAAAGTCGGAGAAACTGTCACAGTCAAGAGGAGCCTACAGAGACACGGAAACTAAATATAATGTGGTACCCTAAATGGCATCCTGGAACAGAAAAAGGACATTAGGTAAAAACAGAGGAAATCTGAATAAAGCATGGACTTTAATAGCTGCGTTGATATTCATACTAAGACGCTAACAATAGGGAAATAGGCTACGGGCTGTATGGGAACTCTCTATTATCTTGGCAACATTCTGTGAATATAAAACTTCCAAAATAAAAAAAAAATTGAAAATTTCTCATATTCCCCAACCTGCCAAGCTGAGGTGTATTGTCAACTTCCTCATTGCTCTCCCTCTTTCCATTCCGTTCCCCTGGCAGCCGGCAGAGGGCAATCTCTAAAACGCAAAACTGACCATATCTGAAGCCGCCTTGAGCAAAATAAGGGCGTTGGATAGAAAGTTCGGGAGGTGTATTGCAGAAGACTGACTCGGATGTCTGAATAAATTATTATCATCCAGAAAAAAAACTATTAAGTATCTCTGGTGTCCTTTGAAATAGTTACTGTGTTCAAAATTTAAAACAACTTGGCCTTTCTAATGTCGCCCAGATAATGTCAACCTTTCAGACGCCCAACTCCTCTAGGCCTTCCCTCCCCCACCACGGGGCTGCATAGCTATTTCCCTTTGCTTTTTCCTTATCTCTTTGCCAACTCCTCGGCCCGAGCCATCTTTTTTTTTGTTTGTTTGTTTTGTCCCCCAGTTCTAGCTCCAAGGAAGCTCTCCCCTAAAATGAGAGAACACTCATTAATTTTTTGATTGTGATATTCCTACCGATGTAATCTTTGTGTTACAGGCAAAGGAAAAAACTGAATTCTTCTGGCACCCCTACGCCCAGCTCACACCAGGCCCGAGAAAAGACTTGACGCATGACAAATAAAAAATATGAATCACCGAATAAATGGATATTCTAGGGTGCAGTGCATTTCTGTGCGCGTGCGCGAGAAGGGAAGGCGTGGGAAGCGGTTTGCTACCTGGCTGAGTCCACCGCAGTCTTCGGGAGGGGGAGGGGTTTCCTCAGTCTCGCCCTGCCATTGGCCAGGATGGCCCGCATTGGCCTGACGCAACACCTCTGCGCCCCCGCGGAGCCCACCCCCTGCGAGCCAACCCTCCACCCCTCCCATTCCCCCCAAGTACGGTCTTACTGGCCAGTACGTAGACAAGGCCGCAGAGGGCCTGTGAGAAGGGAGACTGGCTGCTGGGGACGGCGCACCGGGCGGGATATGTGACTTAAACAGCACTTTGAATTTGCTCTGACCTTTATTAGGATTAACTAGTCTCACTGGGAGCAAGGAGGGACTTCTGGGGGAGGGGTACAGGAACACCGCAAAGGCAAAGCGGCCTTGCATAGACACTGAGGCGAGCTAGCGGGCACAGCAAGGAAAGATGAGGGATGGAGGAAAAGAGTAAGACTTGGGAGAACAGGGTGGCAACAGAGCCCCCCCCAAGGCCACAGCGGCCCTCCCCGCTTCGGGGATCAAGGGTGTCCACTCCATACAGCATGAGGAGGGGGATAGAGGGAGCCCTGACCAAGGCATCACAATAAATACGTTTAGCAGCACACAGAAGCCTGCAGGGGAGGAGGGCCAAAAGGAAGGGGTAATTCCCCTTCCCCTCCCCCCCAAAAATAAGAACTCTGCAATTACTAAACCATAAAAATAAACTTTAAACCCGTGTATGAAGTCGGTTAACCCCCCAGAAGTGCAATGTGAGGCCGCATGGCCCTAGCTGAGGGGGAGGGTAAATGGGGCAGAGGGAGTGGGATATAGAGAGGCACCCCTTGCAATGGTAAGCCATTTATCCAGTGTTGCCCCTCTTCCCTGGGTTGGCCCATGCATGTTGGACCAGAAGCACCTCCTCCATATCAGAGTCTTCCCCTTCTGAATCTTCTTCAAATCCGTCCTCCTCATCTATTACATCCTCCTCATTGCTTGCTTCCTCCTCCTCTTCATTGCTGCCCTCACCTTCTTGATCACTGTCTGCATAGGGAAGAGAGACAAGGAGGGGAAAATGGAAGGAGGATGATTAGATTGGGCAGGCAAATGTCACTCTTAACAAAGAACACTTAAAGGGGACGTGTGTGTGTGTGTGTGTGTGTGTGTGTGAGAAAGCACAGAAACGTAAGCATGGAAAATGTGCTGGGGGAGGAGCAGAAATCTGGGCAGGGTGGGCTCTCAGTCTCTGTCCTACCAAAATCCATACATCTCTGAAAGTATCTTTTTCTCTCCCAGTATGTATCAATGTGTATCTCTCATCAGTTTGACCTTGGCTGAATAAACCTTCTATTCATGCCCCTAATCTGATCCAAACAGGCCCTATTCTGTCTTCTTCAAGCCAATCCCCCACTACCACCCTAAATCTGGGATAGCTGTCACCCCTTCTCTAAAAGAGATGTTGGGAAGGGGTAGGATGAGCAATTCCCTCAGTTTCCCTACCCTACCTGAAAATGTCTCTATTGAGTCTACTCATGCATTTAATGACTCCTCCCTCAGTATATGCCCCTGCTCTCAATGGTACCTCATCGCCATTGAGGAGTGGTTGGTCTTCCTGCTCCTTCCACATCCTCCAAGGGCCTGCCTTTCCTGCATACAGCTGGGCTCAAACATCTCCCTTTTCTGCACTTTGCTATCCCCTTCCTAGCCAAGGTTTGACTCTACTACTTTACCTCCTGCTCATCCTCCTACCCCACTACATCTGGTTCTGCCTCCACCAATCCATTGAAACCATTCTTACCAAGATCACAGATAACCTCTTCAGTCCCAAATCCACTGGACATATCCCAGTCCTCATTATACCTGAACTTCAGCAGCCCTGGACATTACTGACAACCCCCTTCCCTGCTGAGAATGTTCCATGACCTGGTTCTCCTCCTAACTCTACCTCTCAGTGCCTGTTTCCTCATTTATAAAGCTGGGATAGTATTATCTACCTCATAAAAGATGCTGAGAGGATTACATGAATTAAAATGAGTAAATCACTAGAATAGCGTCTGGCATATCACAAATGCTTCATTAATGTTAACTGGACCCAGAGTCCAGAGCAAGGATTCTATTACCCCCTCCCCACTTTCTTTACAACCTCTGACTTCCCAGACATATAGCCAAGTACCTGCCTCTGGGTCACCTGTGCCTTAGGTAGCCCTTCCAACTCCATGTTCCTTCCTGCATCCTACCACCATAATGTTCCCCACCCTAAGAAATTGTATCTCCTTTCACCAGTCATCCAGGCCAGAACCAAACCTGAGAGTCACCTTAAATACTGCCTTCTCCTCAAACCCTCACATGGAACACTTTCTCAACATTTCTCAAACCACATTCTTTGGTGAGCAGGGAACAGTGGCCTTGTGGTCAAGAAGTTTATATATTACTGGATTCCACAAAGTTTAAATAGGTTTCTTACAGCAGGGTTGATTTCTCAGCATCTTTAAGGTGCTAATGTACATGTGTCTCTACACGAGGATGTCTTTGTATGTATTAATTTCCCCAACATATTTGACCACTGAACCTTCTTGTGAGAAGATGCTTTCAGAACGTGAAGGGTTTTCAGAAGACAATTTTGGATACTTTGCCAACATACTGTGCATTTCACCCTTGCAAGTGCTTGTTCTCTTCCACTAAGAAAGTCCCATAATAATCCTTAATGTGAATGTACCCCTCCAATTCAAATGTCACCTCCTTTCTCTAGTTCTCCCTTTCCCAACTCCTGAGGTAGAATTAGCTGCTTCCTTCTCTAGGCTCAGAGTACACTGTTCACTCCAGCTCACCAAACAAGCCTGGGAATTCCCAGAAGGCCAGAGTCAGGTACACAGTGTGCTGAAGTACAATGTGTTTGCCATTCCCCATCTCCCCTTTGTGAAACTATCCTTAGTTTCCTCCCACTGTCTCCTGTACCTCTTTTCTCTACTTCATTTGTAGTTTGCTCTGTTACAGCGTATCTACCCTTCACCTAGAACTGAAATGTTTTATTGTTTTGCTTTGTTTTATCACAATTGTAAATGTTCCCTGACCTTACTTGCTTACAAAGTTAGGCAGAAAGTTTTCTCTTTCCTCCACGAGAGTGGACTGTGTTCATGCCTTGATACCCAGATCCAGGCCAGATTTTCTGTGAGAGAAATAAGGGAAGACAAGTGGTAGGGGTGGGGGAAGTATAACTCACCTTCCTCACTGCCCTGCTCCTCCTCTTCTTCCACTGATGATTCTTCTTCAGAGATATTCTCTACTTCGTCCTCATAGTTATTTTGGTTGTTGCTGTTCTCCCTGTCCTTGTTAGGGTCTTCAATGTCATTCTCGTAGTCTTCTATGTCTCTGTCATCATCATCACTGCCTTCATTGTCACCTTCATTGCCATCATCATCACTACCTTCATTGTCACCTTCATTGCCGTCATTGTCTTCATCATCACTGCCCTCGTTGTCACCTTCATTGTCACTGTCACTGCTGTCTTGATTGTTGCCACCTTTGTGATTCTCATCTTCACCATCAGCATTCTCTTCATCATCTGAGTTCTCATCACTGTCATCAGGGTTTTCTTCATTGTCATCAGTGTTGTTGTCTTCAGGGTTCTCACTGTTGTCATCAGGGTTTTCATTGTTGTCTCCATGATTCTCGTCATTGGCACTCTCATTGCTGCGGGTAGTTTCATTGTCGTCAGAGCTCTCGCTGTTATCAATGGTTTCATTGTCATCAGGGCTGTCACTGTTGTCAGTGGTCTCGTTGTTGGGGTTCTCATTGTGATCAGGGCTTTCACTGTCACATAGACTCTCATTAATGTCAGTTATCTCATTGTCACTGGTCTCAAAGCAATCAGTGGTCTCCATGAAGTCAGAGATCTTGATGTCATGAATGGTCTCAAAGTCGGTGATAGCATCACTGTCTGAGGTCTCACCAATAATGTCTTCCATTATGTGATAGTCATCATAGTCTTCCAGGATCACCACCTCATATCCGTCCCTGTTTTTACTGTGGGGAAGTTTGGGGTTGGTGGGAAGCGGTATATTCAGGGCAGACACTGAAAGGGGGTAAGTAACTGAGGAGGCATTAACCTAGGACTCCCAAGAATGAGGCTAGGATGGGAAGAGTCCCATTTCTGCCCTTGACTGTGTAGCCTAAGGTAAACACAGCCAACATCTGGGCATCATTCTCCACTTGTAAGACATAGTGGACTGGATTATCTTAAAGGTCCCTTTTCGATCTATAAATCCTGTGAGACAGTAGCCTAGTCCTTGCCCCCTCTCTAACAAACCACCTCAGAACCCCCTCTCCCCATTACCTTCTTTCCTTTTCTTGCTTCTTTCTGTTTGTCCTGTAGCCCCCTTCGCCCATCATGTAGTAGCGCAAAGGGTTAACCCACAGGTCATTCTTGATAATCTGTTGAAGATAGGAGGGGGGGGAGGAGAAAGAAGTTAGGCGTATAAGCCCCAAAGCCCACTTCCAATTCTCCAGGCACTCAGAGGCAAGCCTAGCAAGGCCTTCTCTGGCAATAACAGGAGGGGTCCCACCTCAGCAATCCTATCAGCCTCTGGAAGGCTGTGGTTTGAGAACCAGCTGAAGAAGCTGTGACTGATATCCTGGTTCCTGTGCTTTTGGGCCTGGGGTTCCTGGCCCCGGTGCCAGCGAATTGGTGTGGAGTGAGACACCAGCCGACCTGAAGGGAAAGGAGGTCATGGAGAAGGCACTGGACAAGAATGAATCGGGGGAGGCATGAACAGCCTCTTACCAGAGCGGTTGCGCTGGAACTCCTTGACAATCACCATGTTTGTGAAGTAGGGGTTTGTCTGGAAGTACAGCTTCATTTTATAGCCCATGGAGATATGTCTTAGATCCTGTACCTGCTCAGGGTGGGGGTAATGGTGGAATCCCCACCATACCACAGCCCCTCCCACCAAACCCCCCTCACCTCCAAGGACCAGATTCCTTGCCCAGTCCAAGTAAAAAATCTCTTTGGCCTGACCTGCAGATTGGTCAAGTAGCGGAAAATGTCTTCATCACGTTGGTTGATCAAGATTGAAATTTTGGGGTGGTTGAGGAACTGATGGAGGGAGCAGTTTAGGTCAAGGAGTGACTACCCAATGAGAAAAGGAGGGAAGGAAGGCCTGGTAGGGCAGAGCAAAAGAGAGGCTGGAGGAGAATAATTCCTTATATGTTCATGTGTGTAGAACAAGTGTGTCATGAGAAATTATCTGCATTTTCATTCCCATCATATTGTCTATGTGATAAGAGCATGTTTATACAATATTAAACCTTTCTGTTAGGTGGCCTTGCCATGGTTCGTATTTGTTATGTCTGGGTGGATGGTGAGGATCTATGCCCATGTGGTGTTGTGTCTGGGTGCTGACCACTTGTTTTCATAAGACATTGTATGTCTGAGGGCTAAAGGCCCTTGTCTAAGTGATACTGTATGTACAGCCCCTATTGAAGGGCTATAATCATATGATGTTGTATATTTGGGTGTTTTGGGTCTGTGTCCAAGTGATGCTGCATTTCTGGGTACTGAGGGCAAATAGTCACATGATGTTGTGTGTCTGTGTGCTGAGAAGCTGTGTGTTAATACTGTTACAGTGCTGAACTACTATATCCTCATGATACTATGGTGCCTGTGTGTGGAGAGCCTGTGATCATGTGATCCTTTGTATTAGCATGACAAGAGTCTGTATTCACTTAATTCTATGAGGAAGTTACACCTATGAGTATGCAACACGTTTCACATATGTATGTGTTTCTCCCAGAGATGAGCTTATCACTACTACAGTAAATAGGTTTCTTACTCTCCCCTTTTTCTTCACTTAATTCCTTGATCTCTATACTCAGGTACTCATACCAACCCTTCCACGGCTCCAGCACCTTTCCAGGCCCCTCCTCTCCATCCAGGATCAGAGTCTCCCTAGTTACTAAGTAGAGATGTAGGCCTGCAGAGTCACATGTGACTCAAGTACCCTTTCTGGGAAATTTCTCTGCTGTGTGCCCTTCCCTCCCTCTTCAGTGTCTGAGGTTTATCTTCTGTGCCCTCCTTTTTTCCTTTCACCACCTCTGGTGCAAATTTTTTTGCTGTGTCCTCTACTACGCCCCCCCCCCCACCCTACCGTCTGCAAACCATTTTTTGTTATGCTCCTCCCCTTTTCCATTTGTGGGCCAGTCTTCATGCTGTGTGCCCCCCACCCCCTCCCCCATCTCTAGTCCAGCCTCTCTGCTGTTTTGCCCCTCTCCTTCCATCCCTCCCAACCCCCCTTACCTCCAAGGACCAGATTCTTTGCCTGGTCCAAGTAAAAAATTTCTATTGCATTCTTTCAACAAGGGCTCACCCCACACTCTTTTACCCCAGTTGCCCCTCCCCCCTTCTGTCATGGGCTCCTGGCCCATGAGTATAGATGACAAGGATACTGCTTTGACCCAGAAGCCTGGGATATGCTGGATGATGAGGTCTCTGCGCTCCAAGAAGGGTCTTCGCATCTGGATGAATTTGCGCTTAAGGCGGAGGAAGGCCTTGCCCGCCTTGATGTTCACCGCCTCCAGGTCCAGCTGAATGTTCTCCAGCGCCCGCAGGATACACTCTATCTTCTCAGCATTCTTCTCTTTGTTTTCCTTCTTCACCTTCCTCTGCTTCCTCCTCCTCCTCCTCCTCCTCTTCCTCACACTCTCCTTTCATCCTCATCAGCGTCTTCCACTAGGATGACTGCCCCCTCTGGATCAGCCAACATCTGGGGGCCCCATTCCCCTGTGCTACAGGTTTCTAGGACCTTCTCTTCCGCAAAGCTGCTGGGCTCCAGAACCTGAAAATCAATTTCCAGGCCTCCCCCAGAAGCCTCAGGAGAAAGCGCTTCCAGGTTCCCGGTGGGAGGGGTCGAGCCCCCATACCCCGACTCCATCGCCGACTCCCAGCCCGGACCCCCTGCGCCCAGGGTGAAATACGCGCGGATCCCACCCTCCTCTAGAATGACATAGGGCGGCGGCGGAGGCAGAGTGGGCCCACTCCCACCCCCCTCATGTCGGCCAACACCTGTGCTGCCTCGGTTTCCTCCCGGAGCCTCGGGCGCTGCTGAGGTGGAGGCAGGGGCAGTCGCAGGAGCGGCGGGGGCGGCGGCGGCGGCGGATCGCTCTGAGGATGCTCCGAGCTGCTCAGTCGGCGAGTCTTGGCCGGAGGCCCTTCATCCGGGCGATCCATGGTGCCCGCGCTCGACAGCTCGGGCGATCGTGGCCGCCGCTACGCCTCAGCCCGGCCGCCGCTGCCCGTTACACCTGAAGAGGAGCCGCGGCTCCTCACGCGACCAGCACTCCTCACAGCCTCGCTCTGGCGTTCCCTCCCACAGCGCCTGCCCGACTCCCTCCGCGCCAACCGCCCTGGCCCCGCCCCCCTTCTGACGCAAGGGACCCATTCTGCCTTGCCATTGGCTGCCATCCGCCGCGGCGGCATCGCGCTCCCTCCACCTTCACAATCTGCTTGGCAACACCGCACCCCAGAAATTTCCGATTGGTTCCCTGGGTCCCGCCAATCATCCGGCCGACTCCCCTCAGCCACTCGAGGGAGACTGCGGGGTGATTGGCGGCGAGGAAAGCAGAGGGGAAAAAGCCCCTCTCCTCAATCTTCTTGCGTTTTATCCAATGGGAAAAGTACCAGTGGTCTGAAGCCCCCCAAAACAAAACAAAAAATACGCCAGCACTGAGCGAGGTGTGCTCAAATAAAATCGGGAGAGTCTCGCCTCGCTTCCCTCCCCTTCCCTTCTCTCCTCTTAGCTCCCTCCTCTTCCACCTCCTCTTCGCAACTACGCACTTCTAAAATCTGCTCGGTTCCCTAACCTCGGTTTCTGCCCCCGCCTAGAATTGCCTTTTGGCCCCTCGGGGCGTTCGTCGCCCTAAAGGAACCAGGGATTTAGAAATCTAGGACCTTTGATTTGGGGCCACATTTTGACGTGGCGTTTTCCATCTCTGCGAGATGGCTCTAGAAATAATAATCACAGAAAAAAGTAACTTCCCCTGCGTCACTAAAATGGTTATGATTCATTTCGTGCTAGATTTTTCTAGGACTTTCTATCTCATCTACTAAATAGTTCTTCCTATCTTTTCCTTTATCTTTCTCCAGTATGCTGTTTTTCATTGTTTGGGGGTTCGTTTGTGGTTTTTTTTTTTTTTTTTGACCAGAGGGATGGGCTTGTGGGGGGAGGTAGGGAGGCACTTGGGTGTGGGATTCACTTCGTTGGTCTTACTCGTTTTGTAACCTTAACCAAATCACTGCCTCTATCTGAGTTTCTGTTTCTTCTCTAAATTAGGCATCCCTAAAGAGACAGGTAGGAAACTGCTCATTGCAACTTTGTGGTAGCAGAGAATTGGAGGCCACCTAGAGACCCATCACCAGGGGAATGGATAAGAAAAATGTGATATATGTATAAGATGGACCACTAGAATGAATTAGATCTACATAGGCAACATGGCTAGATTGCTCAAAAACAGAATGCTGAGTGAAAAAAGAAACAGAACAAGATTTATAGTACAGTACTATTTATGTAAATTAAAACACATAACAATACCATATTTTTTCACAGATACACATATATGTAAATAAACACATGAACGGTGGATTGGAAGGACATACGTTAAATACACAAGAGTGGGTGCCTAAGTGGGAGGGGGCATGGGATCAGGGATGGGTGATGAAGGGGACAAAACAAAACAAAATATAGAATAAAAGGACCTTGTATGGACCAATGATGATCTAGTGTGCCAAAAACTGAGGAGTACAGTCCACTTGATTCTGTGCACCTGAGCGAATAAGTACATAAATAGTAAATTAATTGAGTGCCCAAGGAGCAGGCTGACTGGGTAGACTCCCAGGCTTGGGTTTCTTCCCTCTGTGACATCTCTTCCTCTGAATTTAGACAAAGCTTACCAAAGTCCCAGCTGTATTCCTCCATCCTTAGGAAGACACCCATCCCAGACTGAGCAGTCCCTCCAGAAACCACTATTTTGACGGGGGCATTTCTTAACCCCATCAGTTCTCCCCAAGTTTGATTCCCAATTCCCAGTCTCTATGGTGGTCCAGTTTCAGCAACACCTTCTTTGGGTTTTGGAGAGGAGACAGATACAGGAGTTGGGAGTGATACCTGGGGGGGCTCTAGGCTTTGGGGGAAGTGGGGGTTTTCAAGTATCCTGTCCCCCATGTTCAAAACCTGGGCCAAGGAAGATCTTATACAATGGGAGTCTAACTTCTTACTAACTACATATGTATGGATTTCAAGTTCCATCTCGCTGACCACTCTTATTTCCTGCCAAAGGCATATGCTACAGTTTGTCTCCTCTCAACTAGGTGGATACGTGTAAGTGTGCGCGCCACATACAGGCATCTGCTCACATGTGTGCACCAGGCAAGAATGCGTCCCCACACAAAGGCACACAGACACACACTGTCTTACTCGACCATGTGGTCATGCAGACAGGACACACAGACAGACACACACATACATACACACACACAGTCAGAAAGAGAAAACATCCAATATAGCATTGTTCATTTCAGTTTTCCATTTACAAAATCCAATGGTGAATCCAGGCAGTTAGAAAAAAGAATTGGAGGAAAACCCTCCAGAATGTACCTATCTCCCCCCACCCCTGTTGTTCCCCCACCCCACCCCCTGGGAAAGGCACCCCATCACTATCACTGAAAGAACAGGTAGCCCCAGTCCCCAGTCTCTCAGCCACTCTGGCCTGCCTTTCCAGGGTCACTCCACAGCCAGGCTCATTAATGTCTCTCCTGCCTAGAGTGCCCTCCCCATTCCTCTTGGGTCAAGGCTTTCCCAGTTCTGGGACTATCTTGGAGTAGGAAGAGAGCTTAGGACAGGGCTTCTATAAGGAAGGGAAAGGGAGGGTGGATAAATACAGATTTCCCCTCTCCCAGGAAATGACAGGAGGCCAGAGAACCCAGGCAAGATCAACAAAGGAATGCTAACTTGGCTCACCAGTCCATAAGAACTGGCCTTGATGTGAGCCCAGAGTGAACTCTGCCCCTACAGGGAGGCTTGGGATCTCCCACCTAGGGAATCTGGCTTCAGTCTGTTCCACTTTGGGTGGAGATAAGGGTGGAGGGAGGAATCAGAGAAGGGTTGTCGGGAGGAAGTTTGGGGTTGAGGGCCCAGAAGGCCAAGGGCTACCATGGAGGGGCTGGAGGCCCCTGAGGCTTGCGGGACACAAAAAGAGGTCAGATAGGAATGGACTCAGGTCCACTGTGCCTTGGAATGCGTACCAAGGCCCCAAAAGAATTTTTGTCTTCAGAAGAGTAGCATGAACCCAGGAGACAATTCTGGGATTGAATTCCATTCTGACCCCAGGGTCTGGGATCCACTTACTCTGGGGAGTTCATTTTTCTCCCCATACTTCCTGGGGGACTGCTCCTGCCAGTACGGAGACCCACATCCACCCTAATGGGACTGGAGTGGATTGTCATCCTCAAGAACAAGAGTTGGGGGCTAGGGATCCAGGAGGCAGCTCGAGAGAATGCAGACAAGCTCAGGTCTCTTCAGCTCAAGGCATGTAGCTCACAGCCTGCTCTTCACCTCCAGGGGCTGTTCTCCCTCCCCTCCTGGTTCTCAAACTGATGTTCAAGAAAAACTTGGGAGATCTGGGCATGGTGGGGAGGCAGAGGAGACTGGGTTTGAGGCCAGGGTTAGCCTAAAAGAACATTGCACACAGCATAGCAATTAAACATCTCTGCTCCCTGGGAACCCAGCACCCTCTTTGGTCCCTCTTGTCAGCAGATCAATTTCTCCCTAAACATCCAGACCTTGCTAAAGGACTTAAGGGGAGGGTGCATGGGAGCATAGGGGACAATAACAGCTCTGGGAGTCTATTTTACAGGACAAATTCCCCTCTTCTGGTCAATGTCAGAAGGAGAGACATTAAAGCAAAGCCTGTCTCCGCTGTTAGTAGAAAAACCTGCATTTTCAGTTTTGTTTTCTTTTTCTGAATTTAAGAGGGGAGAGAAAGGAAGAGAAGACGGGAGGGATAAGGGAGGGAGGGAGGGAGGGAGGGAGGGAGGGAGGGAGAGAGAGAGAGAGATTATAGAAATGGAGAAGGAGGCAGTGGAGACAGGCCCCACAGAACTAGAAATGCCTCTTTCCCAGCTTCCCACCCAGTCCCCAGCTCTGGGGAGGTATTGGCAAAGATGCCTAGATTCTGGGTGATAAGAGGGGCTGGGGCTGGAGCACAGAAAGAAAGGCTCCTGTATGGGGCCCCATCCCTCCCTTTCTGTTGGCCCCATCATGGTGGCCACGACCTTCTCCCTGCCTGTCTGCCTACAAGCCTGCTTCACATGACACAGTAGGGTTCTCTGGGAGCTGGGGCACCTCCTGTGCCCCAGCAGGGGGCATGAGTCCTCAGGCACTTCTTGAGGTCCTTGTTGAGCAGGAAGCAGACGATCGGGTTGACGGCAGCCTGGGCGAAGCTCATCCAAACAGCGGTGGCCAAATAACGGTGGGGCACGGCACAGGCTTTCACAAACACTCGCCAGTAGCAGGCCACAATGTAGGGTGACCAGAGGAGCAGGAAGAGCAGTGTGATCGCGTAGAACATGCGGCCCAGCTGCTTTTCACCCTTGACCTCGTCCATGCCCAGCAGGCGGCGGCTGGCTGCGTGCCCATTCTGCCGGATACCCAGCAGGGTTGGTGGCATGGGCCCACGGCCAAAGCCGGCGATCCAGTTGGCAGCAGCCTGACCGGTAGCCCCAGGGCCATGGAATGTCCAGTTCTGACTGATGGCTGGCACCATCTGCACTGGCTTCATCTTGCGGTGACGGTACTCAAAGAGGAGCAGCTTGCCATAGACAGCATGTGTGGCCGCCATCAGCACAGCCAACATAAGCATGAAGCCCAGCGTGTCATTGGCCTTGAAGTAGCGATGCTCAAAGATGCATTGGTCCTCCTCACGGATAAACTTGTAGGTGCCCACATCGAAGACGGGTGGAAAGGCCATGGCCACAGACAGGGTCCAGGCCATGCAGATGACAGCTGCACATGTCCAGAGTGTCATGCGCTTGGCATAGAAGCGGTGGTGGGCAATGGCCATGTAGCGGGTGACGCTGATGCAGAACAGCATGAAGGCCGCATGGAAGCAAAAGAGCACGGCCATAAAGGCCACAATCTTGCAGCTGAGCGCACTGAAGGTCCATGAGGAGCCGTGGCGCACAGAAGCCAGCACAAAGGGGAAGCAGACAGCAGAGCGTATGCCGTCGGCCAGGCACAGGTCCAGCAAAAAGTAGTAAGGAGCCTTGTGCAGGGCACGCTCCTTGAGCACCAGCAGGGACAAGATGGCGTTGCCTGCCAGGCTCACGCACATGATCAGTCCCAGCAGCACCAGCTTCACATAAGCAGATGCTGACGGCGGGGACAATGCACCGCTCACCTCCTCGGGCTCTTCAGTGGTGTTGGCCATACTGAGAGGCAGGGGCTGCTTCCAACCCTACCGGGTCAGCCAGTCCGGTACTTGATGGGCCCCGTGGGACTCCATCAGGGGTCCTGCTGGGCTACACCTGCAAATAGGAAGAATGGAGGGGGGAGGTAGCGAGGGGGAGAGAGAGAGAGAGGAGGGCGGGAGAAAGAGAGTAACACATAGAGACGCAAAGAGAGTGGGAAAGTAGAAAATGGCGACAAAGAAGTAAATGAATAGAGATTGGGTCGGAAGTGGAGGGGATGAGAATGAGAAAAGATAAGAGAGACAGAACCGAAGAGACTAGAAGAGGGGGAGAAAAGGAGAAGGGATGGGGGAGAAAGAGAAGAAAGGGGTAGAAAGGAAGAAGTGGGGGAGGGAGAGAGAGAGAGAAAGATGGGCAGAAGGAGGGAGGAAAGAAAGAGAAGCAAGAGAAACACAAGAAATGTAAACAGTGAGAAGCAGGTGGAAAGGAAAGGTGAAGAAGAAACAGAAAAGACAGTGTTAGTGTGTTCATGAGGCCTCTGCAGTCACTCCCGGCTGGCCTGGTGTCACACCCTGTGTGGCCCACTGCCGCTCCTACCCCCTCCTTGCTGGATGAGGGTGCTTCATCTCTCTGGAAGTACTTAGTTACCTATTTCCTCCATAGGTGGATGTATGGGCTGGGAATACTGTTGTGTTTTTTCTTCCCCTTTGCAAAGCACTGAGGATGTGTTCTTCAAACTTTTTTGACTGCCACCCACAGTAAGAAACACATTTGACATCACAACCTGGTACACATACATGCATGTGCACACACCACTAAACCTGATGTCTCACAATAGAACTGATCCTATGTTTAATTGTACCCATCAGTTCCTATTCTACCTCACATTTTTGTTACTGCTGGTAGCCATTAATTAACAGGTTTCTTTACTCATGATCAGGAATGTGCTTAGCATGCTTGAGGAACAGTGTGAAGACCAGTGTGGCTGGAGTGGGACAAGTGAGGGAGACAGTGGTAGAAGTTGAGGTCATAGAGATAACTAGGGCCAATTGTTAGGCCATGGGCCATGATGGGGACTTTGGGTTTTATTTTAAGTGAGGTGGGGAGTATGTGTGAGTATCAAGATGTAGGTATACTTGTATTCATTCTTTGAAACATGATTTATTGAGCATCTACTGTGTGCCCCTGTGGAGCTGACACTCTAGATAGTGAAGAAGGTACATAGGTGAAGTCACATGCCACTTAACAACATTTCAGTCCACAACAGACCACATACAGGCAGTGGTCCCAATGGGTTATACCACATGGCGTAGGTGTGTAGCAGGCTCCACCATGTACATTTGCAGGATTCCACTCTATGGTGTTCACATGACAAAATATCCTAAAAACACAATTCTCAGAACACATCCCAGTCATTAATTCACATGTGGAGGTAGAGCAGATGATGCTAAGTTCCTTTAAAAATCAATGAAGGGGGCCTTCCTTGGGCGCAGGGTGGCACAGGGGTTAAGTTTCAGCTCTATCAAGCTATCACCAGCCACTGCAGCATGAGTTTGATCCCCAGCCAGGGAGCTAACCCACATGGCGCAGCAGACCTCTCCTGACTCACCCACTGCTCCCCTCAGCAGTGTATTTCAGTAGATCTGCCTGTTCTGCTCCCTACTCTGTCTCTGGTGAATCCTCTCACCTCCACCACCACCCCTCCCCTGCACCTCTGGCCTAGACCCCAGTTCTTGTGTGCATAAATAAATAAATTTAAAAAAAAAAATCAAGGAAGGAAGGGAGCAGGAAGTGCTAGGGTTTGGGGAAGTGCAATTTTTGATGACAGGGAAGGTTTCACAGAAGTGGTGCTATCTGAGCAAAGACCTGAAGGAGGTAAGAGAGTGATTCACATGGATATCTGGGGTAAGAAAAGTCCAGGGAGAGGGGACAGCCAGAGCAAAGGCCCTGAGGTGGAACTACGCATGGTGTGTTTGAGAAAAAGGAAGCAAGAGTGGGTGAGGGGATAAGTAGTGGGAGGAGAGGCCACAAAGGAGGTGAAGCAGATATGTAGGCCACAGTGAGGACTTGACTTTTACTCTGAGTAAGATGGGCATCATGGCAGGGTTTTGAGCTGAGGTGAGATATGATATGACTTAGAATTGGATGGGCTCCTGCTTGGGATTGTGAAGAGCACATACCACATGGGTAAAGGTGGAAGGAGAAAGACTATTTAAGAAGCTCCTGCATGATCTCTTCCAGCTCCATCCATGTTGCTGCAAATTGCATGAGTTTATCTTTACTGATTGCTGAGTAATATTCCATGGTGTATATGTAACACATCTTCTTGATGCAGTCATCTATTTTGGGGCATTTGGGTTGTTTCCATAGCTTAGCTATTGTAAATAGTTCTGCTATAAACACGGGTGTAGGTGCCCTTTTGAATTAATGTTTCTGTGTCCTTGGGTAAATACCTAGGAGTGGAATTGCTGGAAATAAGTCAGAAAGAAAAAGAAAAATACCAGACGGTCTCACTCATAGCAGGAATTTAGGAAGCTTAAATAAGGGACCAGAAAAAAGACTAATTATAATAAAGTAAAAATCAAAATCAACAAGCAACTATAAACCAGAGACACACTACGGGGGGGAGGAGAGAGTAGGATCAAAACAAGGGGGTGGTGGGAATTGTATGGGGACTATAACCAAGATGAAAATGCATACATTGCGCAAAAATGAAAAATGATGTAAAAATATATAAAATAAAGAAATGAAAAAAAATCTTCATCTAGGGCCTCCCCGGTGGCGCAGAGGTTGAGCGCCGGGTTGCGAAGCTGCCCGCAGCCTCTGCAGCGCTGGTTCGATCCCCGGCTGCTCCCCGGCCACTGGAGGAGGGTCCCACATGGCACGCAGACCTCTCCTGCCACCCGCTGCTCCCCTCAGCAGTGTACTTGGGTCCTTCTGCCTGCTCTGCTCCCCGCTCTGGCTCTGGTGAATTCTCTCACCCTCCCGTGCTTCTGACTGTACCCAGTGCTTGTATAAATAAATAAATAAAAATCTTTAAAAAAAAAAATCTTCATCTAAAGGAAAAAAAAAAAAAGGCTCCTGCAGTAATCCAGGTGAGAAATAAAGGCATCTTGTGCCCCTGACCGAGCTTCATTTTTTCCCTAAAATTCTTCCAAAGCACTATATAATTTACTTTGAATGTGGTTTTTTGTCTGCCTCTCCATATCAGAATGGACGCTCCACAAAGGGCAGAGGCTATAGACTCACACTGTCCTCTAGAAGAGCAGTGTATAGCATGTGGTGGGCCCTCAGGATAAAGCATTTAAGTCAACTGATTGAGGAACTGAATGAGTTGAGCTGGTCAGAGAGGGTCACCTGGAGGCATCCAGGCAGGATTTGCTGAAAGAGCAAGGGGAGGGGGGGACATGAAAGAGAGGGCACAGGCAAAGCTTGGGTGGAGGTAAGAACAGGAGAGCTCCTGGTGTGTGTGTGGGGTGGGGTGCAGAGGTAGTGAGGTGTGATAAGGTAACAAGGCAGATCTCAGAGAGAAGGCAACAAGGCAACTTAGCAAAAGTTGGAGAAGCTGAGAGCTATCTTTAGGGTTGGGATACACTTGAGGTTGCAAGAGGAGGTACTTGAGGGGATGTCTTTCTGTCCTCCTCTGCACTGTCGCCCAGCTCAATCTAACCTGGCCTGCACAGCCACGTGGAGCCAAGCTGTTTGGGTGGCACCCCCAGAGTCTCAGAGCTGGTGCCAATAGCCCCTTAAAAGTGGCTAGGGCAGAGGTTCTGGAGAAATGGGATTGATAGGCCCCCTTTCAGTACCTGAAGATGTGACCACAGAACTGTGGACTAGCTAACAACTTTGTGTGTATAAATGTGTACACACACACACACACACACTCCTTAGTCTTGGGGGAAGTAGGGGTAAAATAATAGAGATTGAATGTAAGAGAGAGTCAGAGAGACACATAGAAAGTGACAGAGAAATGAGAGAGGTTTATGAGCAAGAGGAGGATGGAGACATAGGAGGGAAGGAGAGAAGGGTAGAGAGACAGAAACAGATAAGGGGATTCTTACAAACACAACAGGAAGGGAAGAGGGTGAGGAAAAGGGACACAGAGAGAGAGAGAAACACGGAGAAAGCATGAGAGAAAGAGAGGGAAAATAGAGAAAAACAGAGAGAGGGAGGGAGAAAGAGATAGACGAGAGACAAGGCCAGGAAAAGAATATAGAGAAATTGAGATAGACAGGGTGGGGAACAACAGATATGAAAGGGATGGAGAGAAACAGAGGCAGAGATAGAGATGCACAGAGAGAAAGAGACAGATATAAAGATGTAGCTAGAGAGAGGGAGACATGAAGAGATACACTAAGACCTGCCAAGAAGGTGGGTAATGTGTACCCTGGAGTCTCAGTGAAAAGAAAAAACAGACACAAGAACAAAACGAAACAAAAAAACAAAAGCAGCAAACACACAAAATCCTGGTGTTGCCTGGAAAGATGGGGTAATTCTATAAATATTTGAGGAGAGGGGTGGTCTCAGCATATACCGGCAGCCACAGCCTGGGCCCATCCAAGGCATATAACATGTACACCCCCGTTCATGCCCGTACACCCCTGCTCATGCCCAGACACCCTTAGATAGACACACAGACGTCTACACACGCATTCACACACACCGACAACACAGCCTACTGCTATGAAAACCCTCGGACAGCAACACACATAGGGGCTTTGGTGTACATGAGCAAATAAACACACAGGTGTACACACACACACACACACACACACACACACAGTACAACCAGTACCCTGCCTAAACACCAGTGTTTGTTCTGGTGTTTACTGCCCCCTAGGGGACATATTGGAAATTTGTAGGTGCATTTTGGGTTGCCACCATGCCAGGATGTGGGATGCCTTAACATTTTGGGGTCCAGGGTGAGGATGCTGGCCACTCAGTGATATGCAGGGCAGTTTCCAATATCCATCATATGCCCCATATCCCCTAGGGCTTTGGACTTGTAATGAACTGAACTTAGACTCTAACTCTAACTTAGACTCTATTTCACAGATAAACAAATCTCCCCCTCAAATTTAATACACCCTAAATTATCCTGGAATGTTTGTTGTGTG